ATTTTCTTTCTATTGTCTACATCCAGTAGAAAGAAAATAGACAAATAGACGTGTATTTTTTATTTTTTTTTGACTAATCAAGTCCTGATTTCTGAAATATAAAGCCTAAAGAGCCAAAGCAAGAATATGTAAATCTAATTTGATAAACTGTCTCTTACACTTCAACTGAAATCTGATTTAGAAAGTAAACTTTAGTCTCTAAAGTCTCTTTCAGTCAATGTCTAACTGTGGTATTTGTGTGCAGGTCCAGGATGCGACGGGAGGTGCTGATGGAGGGTCTGCCAGACAATGACACGGATGCTGAGCACCACAGCTACTCCCCCTCAGTGACACGGAGCCCTCACTCTGACGGAGAGGAGAGGAGGCTGCAGCAGCCCTCAGGACACATCCATTCCAGCCTTCCTCTTAGTGCCAACACCTCACTGCCTCATGTCAAACAGGAGGCATTAGACAGGGAAGACGACACAGAGGAGGGAAGGGAAAGCTCGGCGAAACAGTCCAGGGTTCAGTGTTTTCCAACAGCCGTGCCGCTGCCGCAGTTGAAAAGTGAGCACGAGGACTCCGTCGCGGGCTGTCGCGAGCCCCACTTGGCAGGCCAGAGCCTGAGGCAGGAAGAAGGTCAGGGTCTCTACCCTGGAGGGCTCTCCGTAGACGGCCCACAGAGAAGCAATCAGACCAGGCACGAGGGGGAAGACTCCGGAAAGTCACCCGTCGACCCGGTCAGTTTCAAGGCTTCGTCAGAGCCCTGCCGCAGCAGCCTGGAGGTCTCCCTCAACTCGCCCTCTGCTGCATCCTCACCGGGCCTCATGATGTCAGTCTCGCCCGTTCCCTCCTCCTCTGCGCCCATATCGCCCTCGCTGCCCAACCCTCCATCGACGAGCACCAGTCACAGCCTGGACCCTAACCCGCCCCCTCCCTTCCAAAGTCCCAAACTCAACAGGAGCACTCAGAGACGCACGGAGAAAATGGCCAACCTCAATAACATCATCCACAGGTTAGAGAGAGCAGCCAATCGAGAAGAGACTCTGGAATGGGAGTTTTAAGTCCACTTTAGGTGTATCCAAACCTTTGCGCCACACAGGAGAGTCTCAGAAGCTTCCTGACGTCTTTAAATGGAGCGTGGCTCCTGAAGGCCTGTCCTCCAAGAATGATAACTCACAGGAAATGGGAACACGGAGCTAATCATACGGTTGAATTCCCTACAAGAACTTGAGAGTTGAAAAAAAATTTATAAATGTGTATTAGTTTGTTTGTTTTTTTTCCTTTTGATAATGCATACTACTTTGAAATATATGTGACAGCACTAGCTGTCATTTTACCTATTGGACTTGACATGAAGACTTTTGCAGCTATGGTGTCATCAAATGTACACTGAAGTTCTGTAGATTGCCACTGGGTGAGATTAAAAGAAGACCCCTGTCTTAAGCCATTAAAAGCACTATAACTATTTGAAAAGAGACACTGACCAAATTTGCTACTTTTTGAATAGCAATTTTTCAGATTTTGTCTGTAAGACTGGACAGTTTAAGTCAAGTAACATGAAATCCTATTACTGACTGAGGGATAGTCCTTTAAGACTCTAAATATTCAACATCTTGTATGTACTTAGTTTCCTGGTGATATGTTTTGAAATATTTGTAACTCACTCGTATAAAATGTGGTTGTACATGTTGTAGAATTGTCTGCAATAGCCTTCTCTAAACCTGATGTAGCATGGTACTCACCTGACCCTGTTTATCCTCTGTAGTTAGTCACCTGTGATTATACTTGAGCGAAAACACGAGAAAAAAGAAAAAAGTTGAAAACCCTGCAAAAAATGCGAAAAAAAAAAAAAAAGGAAATGTTAAACCTAATGAGTAGAGTACTTTTGAAGTGTTTTTGGTTTCTTTAGTTTGCTTTGAATAATCCTCGAGGTTTACAGTTTAGGGCCCTTGTGCTTTTGGTAGTGAGTGCAACAGTCACTTCGCACGAGCACAGTTTACACGATTTCTTTCTGACTTACCTCTCTGACTCTCTAAGGCACTGGTTCTCAGACTGTAACGGGCCAAGACACAGGACACCCAGTTTACCTCAGATTATGTTGATGCACATCATGCGACGACCATGCGTTCCATTCTTTTGCATAAACATGACGCACACTTGTTTGGACCGAGGGAGGGAAGGCGCTGGCGTATCATGCTTCGGGTGTGAGCTCACGCCTCAGAGGGTCAAACAATGAAGCGAGTGGTGGTGGTGATTGGGGGGCTGGGGGGTTATGAGATAAATCTGCTGCTGTTCGTCCCTTTGTATGTGTTATGGAGTAACACCCGATTGATTGCACATTCTGAAAATGTGCATTTTACTGTAAATTATACAGATCAAAACACCTCAAGCACTGAGATGCTGTTTAGCTAGGCCACCCCTGCTCTGTGTTGATCTACTTTGAGGCTGAAGTTCCCAGTGTTTAAAAGCATGATACGTACAGTGTGACCTCTCATCAGTCTGTAAGTACGCTATATTCAAGAACACAAAAGGTTACAGGTATCCCCTCATATTATCTTTGACCACGTGTGTATTGTGTCTGTAGACGTTTCTTTGTCATGCTTGCAAGATGTTCTTTATGTATTTTGCCTCTATTTTATACTCAGAACAGTTAACTAGATATTCAATACCTCGTGTATGAAGTACTTACAGCACTTAGATTTTTTTGATAATTGTGAGGACTCAAGAAAAATCTCAAATATCAACATTATCCTAACTTAGTGTCCACAAGTCTTTGCCTTTACTGTATCGTTGAAGTTGGTAGTGAACACTTGCACATGTCTACATAGTTCAGAGGACTTGGATTGTATTATGTAGAGATATATATTACACAATTACTAAAAAAAATACTATCTTACATTCTTGGAACAAAAATGTGCTGATTATATTGAAATAGAGTGTACAGATTTAATAAACCAAACCCATTCAAGCCAGTTCTGGTCTGGCAAGCTTGCCCACGTTTTAGACCTTCTCTCAGGGTAGTCTTGCTTTTTAAAGCTTTATTGAAACAGTTGCTCTCATCAGTGGTGTTGAATATGAAAACTATGTGATGTGGAGAATGACTCCGTTAAATATTCGACGAACATGTGAAAGTTGTATGATTACGGGATTTTCGACACTCACACGGAGGGGAAAAAAAGCGGATTGTTAGAAAGTCGTGGCTGTTTTGTAATTCCTTACATGGATGTGTCAAAGTACAGTGTCGAGCGGAACCACCAGGATGAGGCTAAATGGGTTGCATTTTTTAGATCAGTAGACTTTGCTCTTGGAAATACTGTTTTGTTTTGTTTTTGTTTTGTTTTGTTTTTGTTTTTTTCTTGGAGCCACAGAAGATTTCTCTCTGGTTTTCTTACCATCATATTTTGTGCATAATATACTGTATGATTAGAAGTGGCATTTCTTATGTGAAAGCTTCATTGTTTCTCAAGGTAACATGGACATATGGCTGAAAATGAAATGTATTTACCCAGACCATTATCTCTTCATGTAAAGCTCATCTCATTGTTTTGCATGCAAATCCATTCTGCTCACACAACAAGGGATAGACTGTTTTTGTGTTATTGTTCTTGCACAGGGACATTGAATCAGCACTTGAAGTCTTTTTGCATTAGGGAAGTCCACACATGGTGCAGCTGAGAAATTTGGCTCTCACAAACTTGTCAAGATTATGGTCAAATCAGAAGCTGAGACTGGCCCTACAAACGTTATACTTCCAGATTTATTTTGTGCCATATCACCTGCCCCATGCATTATCCTCATGGAGAAATGCCTTGTGGTGAAGTCTGTTCTGAGAGCGGTGTAGGGCTTTTTGTAAGTACAGAAAAAAGCAAAGCTTTTTCTATATCACAATAGCCCTGCACAGTAGATGTTTTAATTTTATAACTGACTTCAGTCACTAAATAATGGAGAAACTGATTGATTGGCAAAACTTGAATAAATGCATTAAGATTTGCTTATATAAAAAAAATCTGGCACCGAGGGTTTGTCACCAAGGGAAGTTGTCATTTATAAGTCAGCTGTGGGCCAATCGAAAGAAGCATCCTTCAGGCTTAGATAACTGTCTGATGCCTCACGTCAGACTATTAATTGTTAAAGAATGGACAATGATATGCCAAGCATCTTGGAAATGAAATTGCATAGGCTGTGTAAGCCATCAGTCAATACATAATTGTTTAAGATCCTGCTGTGTTGTGTTTTTATTATTATTATTATTTTTATAATGAGCAATGAGCACTCCACACATTAACATACAAAAGTTACTGCAAATTCATGTGCATATATAAAACCTTACACTGTAGCGTGCATCCCTAACTAAGTGTAATCATTTGCACTCTTCTCTTTCAGTGAAGGAAACACTTCATCTTTCCTATTGAATTCAGGGTCATTCATGTCCACTATATTAAGCATACGATGATACTTGGGCAATTGTGGATCTTATAAATATGACAATAAACACCACTGGATTTTCAAAGAAAAGCCAGTCAAACAAAGTAGACTGAATGTTTATTTATTTAGGAAAATGACTCACTATTACATTCATTAATATGAACTTCTAGGAATAAGAATAATGCTTTTGGATTTCTTCAGATTGAATGAATGTCACTGATGACTAAATGTCATTGAGTTCAAACATCTGACTTCTAATTTCATTCACCAATCAGATATATAACTACATATTTTACTTTAGTGTGTAAAATTAGCATATATATAATATAGTGTCCCATTTGTTTAATTAGATGTTCTCTATCTGCTTATAAGACGTTTGAAAATCGATGATACTTGAGATTGCCTTTCTACCTAAATACAAAAAAAAAAAAAGTTTTAAAACTGTTGTAATATTAATTTATCAGGCATCCCACTTGCCAGTGTTTACATGACATACCGTGTGGCTGAGCCCCTCCCCTTTTCCAGAGAACCGCTCTGACGCGATGACGTCACTCACACGTAGGGCTCTTTAGACGAGAGAGTTCGCGGCGATGGCGACGACGGCTCGGTGTTGGAAAGGGACGCAGTGAAGCTGGCCTCGGCTCTGGTACGATTCATGTTCATGTTGGACACGTTGTTTTAATGTTTGGTAATTGCACAAGTTCCGGATGAGTCTTTGTCGTCTAACACCTCAGCACTCGTTTGACTGGTGAGTCCGCCGGTTGTAGTCGTTGCTCGGTGTGTTTTGACAGAGGCCTCCGCTCTGGGGTCCGCCCTCCATCTCATAACAACAAAAACAGTTGCAGAAAGCAGCTTCAGCCTAACCAGCTAGTGCTAGCTAGCAGATCTACGCGCTGCTCTCTGTCACGGCTTTTAATGCCAAACGTCGAGTGTTAAGAGACCGCTGCATAACAGTTCACTGTCTGCCAGCAAATGTTAATTTCCACTGTTTGCATGTAAATAGCTCTTCGACTGAGCGTTAGCTCGCTAGCATTATTTTACGCTGTCGAGTGGTTGTTGATGAACACTGGTTAGCCAACAGTTTACATTACATGGCTGCAGAAAAACTAGCTAACCGCTATTCAAAAATAAAAAGGAAAAAACGAAAGAGGAGTTACTTGACTTAACAACCTGTTAGTACAAGAAACGTTAGCTATTTTCTTTTTTCCCCCTTGCAAACGGCTTTTCGTCAACTAGCAACGTGTTAATGTAACGTTGCAGAGCACTTGCGAGAAGCATTTGTTTTTGGGTTGACCGTAGCTTATTTTTTAGTGGCCAAAACTACCGGTATCTTTACATCGAATACTAACTAGTTGAAATAACATTAACTGGTGATTAATTAAGTCTAGTTTACATTTTATTCACCGTAGTGAAGTAAAAGGTAACGACAAAATGTTAAAATTGAGCTGGGAAATCCTTTCCCCAAATACGAAGTTAGCCAAGGCTTTTGCGTTTATACACTGTTTAGCAGCGCTGTTCAGTATGGCTACCCGGCTGTAAACGCAAAGCTCCGCTGTCAAACGTGTTGGTTAATTGTCTCGTTTCTTGTTTTTTCCTTATATCATTTCGACGCTATAGTGTCGATACTGTTACCACTTGTGAAAATGACTGGCCTGTCACGGGATAGGAGTAAGGTTAAGGCTCTAAGGGGCTTAGACTTTTCTGTGTGACTGCTGAACTGAGAGCCAGACTGAGCCGTAGCCACGGGTCACGAGCGGGCTGCAGTAAACAGAGCCGTGTGTTGGGCAGATATGCTTTATCAGGTAGCAGCAGCAGTAAAAGTTGGCCTCTACTCTCAGTGAAGTAATGACCTCGTTTGCCTCCTTCGCAACTCTCTCAATGACCGGAGATACTTTTGGCAGTACAGCGGGATATTTTGTCTTCTTTCTGTCTCCAGGCTGCTTAAATGTTCCTGAGAAGGTGTGTTGCTCTCCTGAGCTGCCCCTCCACTGACCCTCTTAGATCAAGTTTCAGTCTTTGCAAGCGTAGCTGACCTTTACAACTACTTGTGGGCCTGTTTGCTGAGAGATCCTAACAGGTTGCCTTTTGAAAAGTGATGTTAGAGGATATCGATAACAGAATGTAAGAAAAAGCTCTTTATTGATGGTTTACAAGATCTGACCAACAAAGCTGCTGCTGCTTTTACTGTTTTTGATAAGTTGCATTTCTTTTGCTCTTTCAAGGGCAATCTGGGTAGGAACTTGAAAACTTTCAGCGACTGGACAAGTCCTGCAAGGTCTTTGGCTCTGCTTGGCCAACCCTTTGGGCAAATTACCAACCATTGTTGGGTAGTTGAACCACAAAGCACAATTCATTGAACACTAACATTTCTGATTTCTTTCACTACCCTTTAAGAACCTCAAAATGTGACTGTATGTTCTTAAATATGCATTGTGCACATAATTGTTAATTTTTTTATTCTTTTTGAAGGTGAACATTAGCCGATCAGTTCACGTGCCTGAACCATGTCTTTATGCAAGCTAAACTGTAGGCTCGGAGAACCAGCTGGCTTATTTTCCAGTCTGCAGTACAGTTTTAAGTGGTATCTGAGCTCACATGCAAGCCACTGTGACCACCAGGGCATCTATATTTGCCAGTGAATCAAAAGCGCTTCTGTAGCTTGTGTGTCTCAGTACGGAGAAGCATTTTCTCATTATTCACTTTCATTTCCACAGATTTCCATGTCTTACTTGTGAGAGTTTCCACACAGGATATCAGGTCTGCTTATCATCCATTAGTGATTGTTTGTGGTAAGTCTAAAAATCTATGTTTTCACATTTTGTTCATTTTCTTCAATTTTAACCATGTAAATCCAACCATTGGATTTTTTCCCCATACTGCCATTTTTCTGACTGCCCAACATATCATAGATGATCATCGTTTACAGTCTTCCCAATGCCTGGACAAATTGCATGGGAAAGGCATTTGTGCATCCAGGTGCTCATGTACAGCCTCAGCGTATTATGAGCCACTCCCTGGATCCTTCCTTTTTCTCTTCTGCTTCTACTACTACTTTTTCTTTTATATGTGTAAACTTAAAAATATGCTCACATGCTTTCTAATGCCAACAGAAACACTTAAAATTTATGTAGAAAATGCTGCTATTCTGTTCATGTCAGCAGAGAAATGAGAGGAAATGAGGTTGGTCAGAGTTGAGACTCATATGCAGCAGAGATCTTGTCTGGAGTCAAACTGGGGATATTGTAGTTTGTGGTTGGCGTCTTAACCCCTCAACCACCCTGGTGTCTGCACAAACATGTATTTACATACAGGATTGGGCCAGCTTCGAGAACAAGGTTTGAAACCTTAAAAGTGGATTTCAGTGTATTTCTAGCACACCCACACCATCAAGAACCAGGGTTGTATGTGGGCAAAGGTGAGGGTTTCTGGTTTAAATAATTAAATGCATGTTGAACTGAATTTGCGAACCTAATTGTGGATGCATTCACTTCTGGCGAAATGACAGTTTAGTAGTGTCCCTAAATGACAATGAAATTCTTACTAGGGATACTGGCCAACTAGTCAGACCAATTTGCTAATTTGTTTTTCCATAAGTTCTATTTTTTTTTTTTTTTTTTTTACAGTGGAGATCCACGATCAGGATTCATAGTGAAATGCTTTGAGAAAGTTGATTAGCCAATTGCTAGTTCATTTGGTTTTGTGCCAGTAGTTCTGACAATCATCTGTGATGCTGACAGGCTGAAGTAAACTCTAGATCAGGGGTCCCCAATCCCAGTCCACGAGGGCTGGTGTCCCTGCAGGTTTTAGATGTGTCCTTGATCCATCACAGCTGATTTAAATGGATAAATTACCTCCTCAACATGTCTTGTAGTTCTCCAGAGGCCTGGTAATGAACGAATCATGTGATTCAGGTGTGTTGACCCAGGGTGAGATCTAAAACCTGCAGGGGCACCGGCCCTCGTGGACTGGGTTTGGGGACCCCTGCCCTAGATGTGTTGAAAGAGATGACTCTGTTCACTCTTATTTGAGGAGGGGGGGGGGTTACCTTGCCTGTGTTACTGGTAATATGTACTACTCAGTTTGCAAGTGACAATGCATATCTATGAGAGATTCCTCGATAGTCCATCCCCCGTTTAGACATGTTGCATGCTGCAAGGGCAAAGCATCAGAGAGAGGAGGCAGATAAATCTGCCAGAATTAAAGCTCTTGGTAGACTATAAAATTGGACACAATTTTAAAGCTTTGTCTCTGTGTGAAACAAAAAATGAGCATGGGTAGGAGGCGTCTTGGTGTTTTTGTTTTTTTTTTTCTTTTTTTTTTCTTTTAATAAATTTTTTTTTTTTTTTTTTTTTTTTTTTTTTAAATTTTTTTTTTTTTTTTTTTTAAACCAGCAAATGATCTGACTATTACTGACAGTAACTCCAGCGTTTTAACTCTTCTTTAAATGCATCTTTGCTGCCCGTGTGTGGGTTCAGCTCTTCAATAAACTACAACAGCCCCTCCGCCTCCCAAAAATCTTGTCCCAGGGAGTTCTCAAGTTTGTTCAGGTGGTGAATGGAGATTTACTGGGCTAGGTTATGTTTAAAAATGTTTCTGATATCTATTGACCTCGGGTAGCCTGTGGGTTGGAGAATTTCCATTAATAATTTGATTAATTCTTGGAAAGCCTGAGTTTAAAACATTACCAGCAATAACAAGATACCTTGATATTAAATGAGCCATTTTCTCCTGAAGTTACTGGCATTGTTTTGTTTTTTTTGTTGTTGTTTTTTTTTTTTTAATTTAAAAAAGAAAAAAAATTACTTGTCTCTTTGTTTTTCTACAGACAGATCCAGGCCGGAGTTCCTTGTTGGGTGACCCACACTCCTTGACAGGGGCCATGGTAATGTATTATCATCCCAGGCATGCTTTTGATAATAACTGTTGTGTGGCCTGAGTACTGTCTCTATAATCGGAACTCTCAATTGATTTTTACCCTTAATCAGCACGGTTTACCAGGAGGCAGATATTTATGTCAGTGTCAGCAGTATCAAAGGTCCTCCAAGTTTGCCATCTATGCAGGAACACTTTCAGTTTCCACTGCCGAAATGAGTTGTTGCATTGCACTATGACATAACCTCTGGATCTGATGCATTGCCTTTTTTGAACCTGGCTTTTTTTTTCTTCTGTTCCCATTTTTGGCATGCTGCTATGTTGTGCCTGTCCCTGTCTGGCCTAGGCATGGTGCTCTTCTAGCTGTGGCAACTATTCATATTAGCTCTGCTCGTGTTCAGACAAGATCTCGGAGGAAGTTCTTCCACTGTGTGATATCTATCATCTCTTTCAAACAAACTTGGATTGAAAACTGAGCAAAGACATACTAAAATCTGTTAATGGCCAAACAAGAATGCTACAGAGTCTGTTACTGTCAGCACAAGATCATTGTGTGGCTGTATAAGCATAAAATAGTTAGTTTTGACCACAGCCACTACATTACAAAAATATACTGCATGCATCTTCCAAACAGATTAGAAAGTAGTCAGACAAAAAATGAATGTGTGTGAAGAGGAATGTCATAGTTAAAGTTGTTAGTACTAGTTAACTAGAAACATTAACAGACTATTGCACTGTAGGAGGAGGAGGGGCAGCAGAGCTTGGAGTGTATCCAGGCCAATCAGATCTTCCCCAAGAAGTCCCCCGTCCTGGAGGAGGAAAACATGCAGGTAAGAAAACCACTGCAACTAGCTGCTTGTTTTGTGCAGTATGAGGGCGAAAACCAACTCGGTGACGGTTGTGTAAATCTTTCCTAATCAGTTACACAACCCTGATGACATGTGGGACTTTTGCTTGCTTCTGCTTACCCTTTATGCTCAAGAGTTTGTGTTGAGGATTGAAGTGTTTCTTCAGAACACTTCAATAAACTTTTACCACCTCTTCAGAAACTCATTGTTGCCTAGTTGGACACTCTGACTCTTTCTGGTTACTTATTTTTCTTTTTCTTTTTGTTGCTTTGAGTAAGCTGGATTCTGGCTCTTTTTTTTTTTTTTTTTTTTTTTAAATGGGCAAAATATTGACACAACTTTCAAGTTGTCATATGACTCATGACTTTTCCCACTATATTTGTGTCTGTGTAGCTCTGCCGTTTATTTGAAATGTTTTCTCTCCTGCTGTTGTCAGGTGCCCTTTCCTGAGCTGCACGGGGAGTTCACAGAATATGTGGGGAGAGCAGAGGATGCCATTATTGCAATGTCCAACTACCGCTTACACATAAAGTTCAAAAAGTCAGTTGTCAATGTAAGTATCTCTAAGTGACAAGTGCGCTTCAGTGTTGTAGCTTCAGAGAAAAAAATCTTTCACGTGGCACAAAATCGCTGCAAAATGAACCACATTGTCTCCATTGGAGGCTGTATCAGTATGTGTGTATTTTGTGAATGGACAGAGCTAGGGCCAGCACTGTGGTGACCAGGCCATTCAAAGCTGCTCTCCACTGGCAGCAGTGCCATGTGACTCTTCATCACCTCTCTTTCTACACTCGTCTGCTCGCTTTGGCTTCTCTCTGGAACTTGCCGTTGCCATGGATGCAGTTGGCCCACAGGTTCCTGCATAACAGCCAGGGCCTTTCTTTCCATGTCTTTTCACTATGTTAGAGACAAGCTTTGTTAACAAAGTATGGTCTTCATTTACCATCACACTGGCCTTGTATGGATCTTTACTTTTTCTTTTTTCAGAAAAAGATGATTTATTAGAGCCTAAAGTTACACAGGACCCTTTACACTATCAGTGGTAGTCACCCTGTCATGACTAGTCTGTGAATTTCATTGGCTTTTCATGGTTTCTCATCATATTGCAGCTAGCCTCTTGCTTGCCTTAAAGACCTAAACTCACCAGGGTCTTGGTGCCTGCTGGCCACCTTTACCTCGTATTACCAGCCTGTTAAAGCCCAGTGGTCCTGGACTTTTAGTTTATTTAAACTGTTTTCTATGTTGTGTAGTATTTAAAAAGTTATTACTATTATTTATTTATTTATTTATTTAAATTTTTGTTTCCATTGTTTATCTTAGTTGAGTATCTGCCATCATTTGATAAAGCTAATCAGCTAGTGACGTACAACCACAAGACAGTTTTGCAATGTGCAGTCATGTGCTACAGAAGTTTTTGTTGTTTCACTTCCGCCTCAATGAAAATGTTTAATCATCTATAGAAAAGTTTATTTGCTCATTGTTTTAGTGTTGAAATGTTTTTATTTCATTTGTCATTTCAACTCTCATTAAAAGACCAAACGCACAAAGAATCTCATCAACAAGTAATATCTTTCTGAAAAGTTGAAAGTGTGTGTGGCTTTTTTTTTTATTTCCAAGTCATACAAGCTGTAGTTATTCAGTAAATGAAGGTATGAATACACCAGTTTTAGTCTCAAAGACAACTTATCCAAATAACTGGAACATTTATTTATTTTGGTGTATTTACTACAGTTTGTGCATCCATCAGTGTTTCCTGTTGACCTCAGGAACCCTCTGGTTCATGCCTTACACAGTGCCTCCCTGTGCCCATGTCACACAGCCAGCATTTTCCTCACACATATTTGAATGTGTTGCATCACATGGCAAATCTGCCGGAGCTCACAAATCAGGGGTGGGATGTGCTGCAAGAGAGCGAGAGGTTGTTAACAAGCAGCCCAGGAATTTTCATGGTGGCTAGATTAGGGTTGCAGATTAGAAAGTGGAAATTAAGTTGTGACAGCAAGATGCATGAATGTGTGGAATGTGCGGTGACGCCAGCCTCACACAAATCGACATGCATCGCTTACATTAGTATTCTCTTTGTTTTGCATAGAGTTGTTGTTGTGAGATGTCAGTAAGTACCCGGAAGAGCTGCATGGTGTGGTTAAACTGTACAGTTTTGTGTGTATCTGCCTGTTAACAAGCTGGCCTCGGACTAGAAAACTGCTTGTTAGTTTTGCACAAGGTGCTGGATTAAACTAGAAATGACAAAAAATGCATATTGGGGGAAATCTATCCTCACAGCATTTAGGTTGCCAACCTTTAAATCAGGGGTGGGCAACTCCAGGCCTCGAGGGCCGGTGTCCCTTCAGGTTTTAGATGTGTCCTTGAACCAACACAGCTGATTTAATGGCTAAATTAGCTCCTGCAGTTCTCCAGAGGCCTGGAAACGAACTAATCATGTGATTCAGGTGTGTTGACCCAAGGTGAGATCTAAAACCTGTGGGACACCGGCCCTCGAGGCCTGGAATTTCCCACCCCTGCTCTAAATACTACAATAAAATCTCCATATGGCTGTGACTCTGCCACTGTGCATATGTCTGGAGAGCTTGACGTGCTGATGATCATGCATGACTCCAGACTCTGTGAACATTAACTTTTTATCCCACAGAGCTACTGAAATATTATCTAATTAACAAAGCTTAGTCAAAGGCAGCATAGGTATTTCCCTGCAGTATTTAAAGTATGCTGTTAAGTCATAAGCACAAGCCGGTTCTGTACTTTGCTATGTGCCGGGGAGAGGGGAAAAATGGCTTTGTGCCAAAGGGAAATGCAGATACAACTGTAAGATCTCGGATGATTGCTTTTTTTTTTTTTTTTCTTTTTCCTTGCAAATGGGGAACCAAAAGGAAAGTTAAGAGGATTATGTGCTGTCTGTTTGGAAAGTTTTCAGACTCTTTCAAGTTTTCCACATCTTGTGTGGACTCATCCTAAGAATTTTTTTTTAATTTTTTTTTTTTTTTTTTATTTATGGTGGTGGGGTTATATAGTTTTCCCATCAAAATTTTAATAAACACTGATTTATTCTGACTCTTCAGCACTCTTAAGCAATGGCCTCAGTTGTTCCTAGGTGTGCTGTGTAGGTTTTGAAGTATTCGAGTAAAACTGAAATAAGATTTGAAAGAGTCTGAATTTTCTGACAGCAGTCTATATTTGCAGAGCAGAATGGGATGTGATTTTATGATGATGTGATTAAAATGTACTTCAACAAATAACCTTTTAACGTTGAATTTTTAGCACTGTGTCTGATGGTTTCGTTTTTATTTATACTTTAAACTGCTCTTGCACATCAGCACATACTTTGTGTTGTTGGCATGAAGCCACTATCCAGCCACCACTAATTTGCTTAAAGGATTGCTCGAGTCTGCCACACTACCTGTACTGACTGCATGGGTTTGAGATTTTTTTTTATTTATTTATTTTTTTTTAAGGCTATACACTAGTGTTGCAGTGTATAAGTGATGTGACGGTTCCTTGTTTTGTTTTTTTTGGTTTTTTTTCCCCCCCTCTTCAGGTTCCTCTTCAGCTCATTGAGTGTGTGGAGTGTAGAGAGATGTTCCAGCTTCATGTCACCTGTAAGGATTGTAAAGTCATCAGGTATGACCATTGAAGCTTCCTGTCTTTGTCTAGATGAGAAACTTTGAGTCATGTCACTTCCGTAAGTTTGTAGTAATCACTGCAGTATCAAAAACAGACATTAGGTGATTAGTGTGAGCCTGCTTTGTATGACAAAATGACAGTAAACGGGTTTGAAATGTTCTCTTGAAAACTGAGGATAACATTTAAGATAAAATTTGTACTATTAGTAATATTTATTTTTTGTTTTTGAGTACTAGACTCCTGCATTTGGTTCTTTTTGAAAGATCACATTTTAAATTTTATCCCCAGATGTCAGATCTCCACCTTTGAGCAGTGCCAGGAATGGTTGAAACGTCTGAACACAGCAGTGAGGCCTCCGTCTCGCTTGGAAGACCTCTTTGCCTTTGCCTTCCACGCCTGGTGCATGGAGGTGTACGCAGGAGAGAAAGAGCAGCATGGCGAGCTGTGCAGACCAGGTACACTTTTAATTCCTCGCTTGTCTTTACAGAAACTTACCCAAACCTGTATTTTGCTTATCGGACATCTCTGCTGTCACTGTAGGTGAACATGTGACCTCATGGTTCAAGAATGAGGTGGAGAGGATGGGCTTTGACACTCAAAATGCTTGGAGGATATCTGATATCAACAGCAAGTTCAGGTAGATGCGGCTTTCTTTCAGGATACTGCTTCCGTGTTGATTTCAGAATTGCAGCTAGAAGATGGATTCCATCCTTTGCTTTCATTGGCAAACAGCACAAGTCAGTATGTGTTAAACAGTGGGTGGTTGTGTTATTGTACTCCATGAGTGCTGAACCCTGGACAGATAAGGGGCTGGCCCAGGATTAGGTGTCTGCAGACAGAGACTTTTGTTGAGCCATCACAATCCTTTGGTGTTCCCTCTCCTTGTTTAACTTTGCTCTTTGTGCCCTTCTGCACTGCCAGGCTTTGCCCCAGCTATCCTCAGCAACTCCTAGTGCCAGCCTGGATTACTGACAAAGAGCTAGAAAATGTGGCAGCCTTCCGCTCCTGGAAGAGGTTTCCTGCTGTAGTTTACAGGTTTGTGTTTTAAAGCAGCTATTAAAAGCAGACACTTGGCCTGTTTATCATTAGAGAGGTAAAAAGCTTCCTTATGCAGCGGAAACGAAGCAATTGTTGGATAAAATCTTGACTGTTCTATATCAGTGCCACAAACCCTCCTAGCTTCTGATTTTTTTTTTTTGTTTTGTTTAGAGTGTGCTACCCGACCAAAAGCACTGACGTCACCAATTTTGGAAGTGCTTCAAGCATTTTTTGGCTCTTTTTGTTTAATAATGCTTGGCACTGTTTGGGCAACTTCATGCTTAAGCCAATCAGAAGTGAAGACTTCGTATGCCTGTTTTGTGCATCACAGAACATAAAATTTCAGTTTTTTACTATTTTAGTATATTAAATTGCATAAACTGGCATTTCTGAAGCTTTGTGCCTAAGAAAAACTACAAGGTCTACCTCATACATGTGACACACTGAGTTGTGGTAATGAAGTTCTATTTTTAATATACTTGTGCGTTCTAAGTCTTTGGAAATCTAAGAAAAGTTAAAAGTAGTATAAAATGCTGTGAAAGGGAATAAATTGTCGTCGTCGTCTTCTGTAGGATTTGTACTGGTATTACTATCATTAAATTGATTACTTCCATTAAATAAACTCTACCTTGGCCAGACATTACCAGTCTAACTTCTCCTCACTTGCCCTTCACATAGGCATACAACTACTGGGGCTGTAATTGCCCGCTGTGGCCAGCCAGAGGTCAGCTGGTGGGGCTGGAGGAACGCTGATGATGAGCACCTGGTTCAGTCCATTGCCAAGGCCTGTGCCGTGGACAGCAGCTCCCAAAAACATGTTCCCAACGGTAGCTACACCAATAGCTCAGACCTGCCTGACACTGATTTTGGTAAGAGCTCTCACTCAGACACTTTTATACTGCCCACTCAGAGTAGGATATGTTAATATTCTGCTTTATTTGGCAGCAGAGGTTGTCAGAGCTGAAATGTTTCCCCTTCTTTCTCAAAGTCTGTTCACCTGCTTGCTATTGTTTTGAAAGCAGAACCCATATGTTTGAAATTTGGGTCCCTGTGTTGCATCATACTAGAAACTACTGTTACATCATGTTAGCCCAGCATTCATTCATAACACTCCGCACTGCTGCAGGGTTATGCTGGCTCTCTTTAGTTCAGTGTAAACAAGCAAAGCTATCACAAGGAGGGGCCTTAGTGGTGCAGTGAGATCTGTGTAAAATGGCCTTCAGTCAGCCTCACTGACATGCCGTGTACGCCCACAGACAAATGCATGCTTCCAGCTGAACATACACCTACCACTGCACATTTTCTTGAAGTGTTGCCGTCTTTATGAATTTGCAGCAGACACTGTTGACTTGTCTGATTTGTTGGTGCTTGTCTGAAGCTGCAAACTACAGTAAACTTCTGTTAAAGACATGTTTAATGTGCCTGAAAGAATCTCACTTATGCCCCCAGAAGGTGCTTTATACAACCTGAGCTGTAACTCTTTTGTTTTTGTGTGTGTGTGTGCCTGTCAGAATCCTCCATGACCAACAGCTCAGAGGTGGAGACACTGGCCAGCCAACCTCAGAAGTTACTGATCTTAGATGCCAGGTCCTATGCAGCTGCTGTAGCTAACAGGGCCAAAGGTGGAGGCTGTGAATGCCCAGGTAAGTCCCGTCTGTTTGGTCCCAAGTCGCATACAGAATTGGGTCAGTGTGTCTTCGATTTAGCAGCTCAGTTTGGCTTAAAGTAAGTGTTACTTTCATCTTATTTCAGAATACTATCCCAACTGCGAGGTGGTTTTCATGGGAATGGCTAACATCCACTCCATTCGCAAGAGTTTCCAGTCTCTACGATTCCTCTGCACTCAGATGCCTGACCCAGCCAAGTATGTGTTTGTAAATATGCCTCCAGCAGTACACCCAGATTTTCCAAGTCAAGATTTTATGACACAACGCTAACGCTAAACTATTAAAACTCAAAACCCCCAACAACCTTTAGTAGTAGCTGGATGTAACTAGCAATCATAGCCGTTTTGACTTGGGCCTTACAGCTGCGCCTGATACTGAGAACTTGGCCCAAACCCTCTTTCCCTTTGCACTGCCATATTCAACACTGCAGTGATGTGTAGCTGAACTGTCAGCTTGAAGTGTTTGTGTGGAGTTTTTTTTTTTTGTTTTGTTTTTTTTGTTTTTTTTCCCCTCCCCCTTATGGTTTGCAGATCAAGATGGAGATAAGTGTGTGTGAACCATGAGATGGTAATTCGTGTCTATCTCTATTGATCTAGAAAACACAGTTGCGGTTAGATTTATAAACTATGTAATGTGAAAGAATCATAATTTATGTGGGTCAGGGTGTATGTATGTGTCCTACTAGTCTCATAACATGGTGTTGTTGGACTTTTTTTTTTTTTTTTTTTTTTTTTTTTAAAGATTATATTCATTTCAGCACTTCAGCTTTAAACTGGGCACTATAGGCTTTTGCTGTCTGTTTGCAGCTGGCTTTCTGCACTTGAGGGCACAAAGTGGTTGCAACACCTGTCCCTGCTACTGAAGGCAGCTCTGCTGGTGGTCAACGCTGTGAACAGAGACCACAGGCCTGTTCTTGTGCACTGCTCTGATGGCTGGGACCGCACACCACAGATTGTTGCTTTGTCCAAGCTACTGCTGGACCCTTACTACCGCACTATTGAGGTATGGATGGAGATGACAGTGTTGTTGTATGCAAATAAAATGTAAAAATGATAAAAGCATTTATCGGATTATCTCATGCAGGGCTTCCAAGTTTTGGTGGAGACAGAATGGCTGGACTTCGGCCACAAGTTTGCTGACCGATGTGGCCATGGAGAAAATTCAGAGGACCTGAATGAGCGCTGCCCTGTTTTCTTGCAGTGGCTGGACTGTGTTCACCAACTGCAGAGGCAGTTTCCATGCTCATTTGAGTTCAATGAAGCCTTCCTGGTATGTACATTCAATGTTGTGGTTTTTTTTTTTGTTTTTGTTTTTGTTTTTTTTAAAACAACAACAGAATCCAAAATCAGAAATGAGCAATTTATCTACAGACATAATGGTGTCTCTGATTAAAGTGTAGTTACATTGAGGTTCCAGATGTGAGAGATTGATATGCATTTACCTTCATGGTGCGCTAAAATGTAATATGAGGAACTTTTTATCCATGATTTTGTTATACTTGATAATTTTGTATACAAGTGTTTGTGTCACATTTGTGCAGGTGAAACTGGTGCAGCACACCTACTCCTGCCTCTTCGGTACTTTCCTGTGTAACAGCGGCAAGGACAGGGAGGATCGTCACGTTCAGGAGAGGACCTGCTCGGTCTGGTCACTCCTGAGGCCAGCCAACCGCTCTCTGAGGAACATGCTCTACTCCTCACACTCCGAAATTGTACGTCAACACTTTTAACCATTCAGTCCTGCTAAAAGGAAGCAAAGATACTCGTGTCTTTGTCTTTTCTGACTTTAACATTTAATGTTTAAACTTAAAGACAACTGGGGCTGTACCAAGCTATTGGACAGAATTGATCGGCTCCCAGCTCAGAAAGCTGGATGGGGACGTCAGTGACAGAATGTCACTATATTCAGTTGTTAGTTACTACACTGCGTCAGCAGCAGTTCACTAGTTCAGAGGTATTACACAGTGAAGCCGACAGCTTTTCTCTTGCCATGTTTACATAAATGTAAAAGTTGCATAGACTTACTTGACCAAAGTGAAAAGCTCAAACAGCAATACTTTTACTGTGAGCTTAGCTGACTGTCTCACACTCATTATGCTGTCATTAACCTATCAGCTCTACTCAACACGTGGTGTTAGTAAGTGTAAGTAGGTGCACTAAGAGTGAGGACAAGGAATAGAGAAACTAGTGTCTGACGGCATTATGTAGCGGCCTGATTGCGTGCTCTGATATGAGAAAAGTATAAATAAAGTGAATAACATAACTGTATTTTAGTAAAGCAGTTCCTTATTACTGATCTAACTGCATCAGTAATTTTGATCCACTTTTTGCCCTTCCTGTCATATGGAGTGCAGCTAGCAGTGCTCCACTGATGCTCTCTGTCTCAGACATACCTCAGCTTTTCTTGTTGTTGCGTACACTACAGAACAAAGACGTGTGGAATTACTGTAGAGATATAGTGAACTTTGAAACTTAGGTGTCTGGATTGTTCATGAGTGGAAAGTCAGTCAGATCGATTCCTGCAGTTAAATGAAAGATTTCCTAAAGCTCATTCAAAGGTTTTCTGCTTTCAACAAAACTGACTAGAAGTGATCAGGATACAGTATAAAAGGAAGCTTTTAAAGAGATCGTCCTGTTTGAAACTGTCAAATCTAACTATCTCAGAATCAAGCTCTGTGCTTCTTGCCATTGCATACAGCATGTCTTCACATGCTGCTTTTTCTTTTTTTTTTTTTTTTTAAGGAACCCAAGAGTGCTGTAAATTTTTGTACATAACAATTGGCAATAAATCTAAAATACTGTGAGATACCAGTGCTTTTGACACCCTTCTGAGAATTGCATTTTTGTGGTTACTACTTTTGCATTTGCTTTGTGTGGGTGGAGACGGGCAGACATAAATATTGTCCTCTTGGTATGAAAAGAAACAACATTCTTGGATCAAGTTTAGTTTAGAGGTTCTTGACAAATCTTATAAAACTTTATTCATCCCAGATTTAGGCACTTCTTGTTCGTTCATTCATTTATTCTATTCTACTCCTTTCTAAAGATTTGCATTCAGATAACCTTTGTCATCGTCATGTCTGACTATATCTTGAGTTAAGTTTGCAGCTCTTGTTTCAGGTTCTCCATCCAGTGTGTCATGTACGGAATTTGATGCTGTGGACGGCCGTCTATCTGCCCAGCTCCTCCCCTACCACTCCTTCCGATGATTCCTGCGCTCCCTACCCAGTGCCCGGTGCCAACCCGGAAGATGCACCCCTGGGCAGGTGAGCCTGGCGCGTTGGCACCCGACCCCTTCCCACTCTTCTCCCTATCGTGTAAGATAAAACGCAAGCCACAGACTTCCCACAGCCAGAGGGGGGCCGGCTTTTCCACTCTGCTGGTCACATGCTCTGCTTAGATGCAGTCTATGCTCTTGTGTCACGACAGTCAAAACATCTTGGAAGTGCAACAGGAAGTAGTCTTTAAGGCTGTCATTAAAGCGCTTCAGGTGGTCGATAGGACTAGAAGTGCTGTGAATGCCCGTTCATTTACATAGTTTGTGACAGCCAGGTCAGAATTAAAGAGATGGTCTTTGCTGAAATGTCTGTTTTGATGAGACAGACATGTGAGTGATTTGTTAGGCAAACATTTTATAGTTGTTTGCAGTTTCTCATTAAATTATAGGCTGTCAAGCATACTAGGCTATTGTTATGTAATGAAATGCCGCTTGTTTGTAATTATTTTTCTCCTTTCCTGTTAAGGCGAACAAAGACGCGCTCCTTTGACAACTTGCCTAGTGCGTGTGAGCTGGGAAGCTCACTGGCTCCCAACCGTCGCTCCAGTGACCCAAGCCTGAATGAGAAGTGGCAGGACCACCGGCGGTCTCTGGAGCTCAATGTGGCAGTGGGGCCTGAAGGAGGGGAGAACCAGGATGAGGTGCAGCCATATCATGACAGACTGGGCTCTGAGATGGATCACAGCAAGCAGCAATCCCAGGGCTCAAATACTGAACGTAGAGAAGAGTCTTCTGTGAACCCAGCAGAAGATACAGCGGAGGAGGCAGAGCTCTCTGTGGCAGTGGGTGTGGCTGAGGGACAAATGGTGAACATTCTTCAGGAAGCCACAAAGGAGGAGGCAGGATGCGACGTGCCAAGAGAGGACCATGCTGATACTGCTCAGGTTTTTAATGCTGTAGACCAGGAGGTGGATGGACATGTAGAGCAGCATCAGATGGTGGATGTCAGTGAGACTGTCATGAAGAGAGACATGTTTGCTAATGGTCAGCTCCCAGAAAATGGTGAGATGAAGGCTCAGGAGAACGGTGACTCTTTTTCTGTGCCCACACAAGAGGAAGAGGAAGAGGATCAACAGGAAGCAAATGCGTCTCAGAGAACTGAGGACTTGGTGACGGAGAATGTAGAGGAATCTTCTGTACAAGAAGAACTTGCGCATGTACCGAAGGAGTGTAGCACAGGTCAGCCAGAAGAGCCTGCAGCTCATAGAACTATAAATAGTGACTTAATGTATAGGTCACCTGAAAAACAAGGCTTAGATGAGAGAAGCTGCCCTGACTCTGAATCTGACCACAGTGTCCCTGAGTCAGTGGAGTTGGTAGATAAAAGGACCTCCTTGATGGAAAGCTCCACAGAGACTTTAACTGAAGAGGTCTGTGGCAGGGTGGAGCTCCCTGTGCAGCCACCTGTTGGTTTAAACCATCACCTCATGAGTGATGGCAGGAGCCCAGTTCCCTCTTCCAAGAAAGAGAAGGGGCTGGAGACTAGTGAGCATGGCTTGATCAGAACTTTAAGCGAGGGCAGCAAGCGGCCCTCTGTCAGTGCCTTTCAGTCAGTTCGTGCTGACCTTAGCAGGGATGGACTTTGTAATGGGGACAACTCCGAAGGGGAGCCAAGTGGAGCACCTTACTGGGCCAAAGGGAATGTGGAGAGGGCCCCTTTGAGCCGTCAGGTATCCATAGCAAGCTGCAACTCTCTGATCCTCCACCCACGAGGCAGCTGCTCTCAGCACCGCTGGTGTCACGCCTTGCTAGGCCGGGTCACCATGAGCCCTGAGCAGCCAACTCGCAGCCATCTGGATGACGATGGGCTGACGCTGCACAATGATGCTATCCAGCAAAGACTGAGGCAGATTGAAGCGGGGCACCAGATGGAGGTGGAGACTCTGAAGAAGCAAGTCCAGGAGCTCTGGAGCCGCCTGGAGAGTCAACAGCACATTATCTCCCACCGGATCAACGGAGACATTGGAGATGAAGTGGTAAGCCACTGAAAGTTAACTGACCCTCTGATCTGTTTACAACTTGTAAATGGAAGCGATCCACTTCAGACTGCCCTGCTTACCATTGCCAGTTAAAGTGAACCTTACTGTGATCATCTGTCTCCCTCCATTCAGACCTCAATGACGGACTCTGAGTACAACTTGGACCCAAACTGTTTGTCGCGCTGCAGCACAGAGCTCTTCTCTGAGGCCAGCTGGGAGCAGGTGGACAAGCAGGACACTGAGGTGAGCAGCTGCAGCCATATAAAGACCCTCGTCAGGGAGGGATGGCACAAGGCTCACAAAGCGGTCTTTTAGCCGCATTTATGCAATGCAGAAGAACCTGGATGAGCTGCTCGGTATATGGAAACTGAACTGATACTTTCCCCAAACATTGCAGGTCACCCGCTGGTACCCTGATCATTTGGCAGCCCAGTGTTATGGCTGTGAAAGCAGGTTCTGGCTTGCTACCAGGAAACATCACTGCAGGTGAGAACAGCTTTGTTTTTGCAGAATCTCAGGCCTTCACTCTCAGTTATCACAAATCAATTCTTTCTCTCCTGTTGAGGCCTTTGCTGTTTAGCTCACTCCTCTTCGGGTCAGATGAGCTTCTTGTATGTAGGTTCAGCTGAGGCTGTTCATGCTTGGTACCTGAAGATGAACTTGAGAATCTTTGTCAACCCGTTTGTGACGAGGTTTACTTCCTCTCTATGGACCAAAGCTTAAAATCAGTTTGCGTTGAAAGCCAAAATAAGAGTTTCTCACTTGATGCATTTTTCTCAAAGTATGCATGTCTGTGTCCCTGCACAGACATGTATGGATGATAAACATGATGTAATCTGTGACTGCTCAAAATATTCCAAGGACACACTAAGCAGTACTTGGAACTGGTATAATGTTGGCAGCTATTAATCAGCTGTGTCTACTATTAATAAAACAAAGGGTTTTGTTTTGTGAATTAAAGACTTGTATAGGAGAAATCTGTCTTATACACTTCCTGCCTTGTTTATTTGGATGTTTCCTGGTTCACTGCCGCTGGGGCAGCCAGTCTTATTTCCAGCATCCACATAAAATGCAACAGGTACCACTTAAATGGGCACCATCATTAAACCCTCTAAATAAGGTAATAAATCAGAATAACAGATGGCGTACTTGAATACTGTAGTGTGGGTCTTTCAAAGGAATACCATGTGCCCCTGTTGACATGATGCCCAACTATTCTAAATGCAGCCAATTAAGTGACCCAGATTTGCCTTTTTGATCCAAGTGTTACACTCTAATGTATGAAATCTTTAGAAAGTCTTTAAGCATGCCCTTTGTGCAAATGTAAGAAGTCTGTACTGTGTGGAAGTAGCCTTCCAAAGAAAGTGTCCTGCACGCTCTCTACACCTGCTGTGGATGAACAGTCAGGATAGTTGCACGATTTAAGGCTTTTGGTCCCAGTATCATGTCTCTCATTCAGGAGAGGAAAGTTATTTTTAAAATTTGAGGACCTAATTTGCATTTCATTTGCCGATGGAATGAGGTGCCACTCTCTGGTTGTCTGTACTATGTCAATCTATAAACAAGAGCCAGGGAGCCAAGTAAACTGTTTAATTTATTGTAGACGCCCTTTGTTTTGCACAGATGTGTCCACACAAAACTGGGTGGTCAGGTTGATAATCATGTGGTGAATTAGCTCGTGGACACTTCCTCCTGGTGTCATCACTTCCTTTTATACTGCTGACTGCTCTGTATTTCCCTTTTTGTCAGTGGATCACATAAGTCACTCAGGAGAACTTTGAGGTTGAATCTTAGGATGTTTAGTTGTAAATGTAATTTGTGTGAATCCTGTGAATGCAACTTAAACACAACACATCTCCATCAGGACTTTTTTTTTTTTTAAGTGTTATGTTTTCTCTGCTGTTCAGCAGTACTTATCCATTTTCTGCCCCTCTCCTCCTCTACAGTGGCAGGGAGCCTGTTCAGGAGGTCTGGTGAGATCCGGCTCCCCTGTCCCACCCACCCTCCAGCCTTTTCAACCCAGCATCCTTCAGTTTCCTCCTCATCCTAACCCAATCCCACCTCACCCTTTCCCTTACTCACCTGCTGCATTTGAATCCCCTCATTCTGTTTTGGCAATCAGCAAGTTCTCAGGGAAACCTCTTCATTTCTGAGATGGGTTGATTTGTGTGTGTCCTCCAGCAGTAGCAGTGTGTTTTCATACAGCAGTTTTGAATTGGCTGTGACAGTGAGCATGGTGCTGTCACTCAGTCAGAGGCTGCCCGTTTCATTGGAAAATTTGTAAATCTTTACTAAATTGATCCCTCAGCCTCGACCATCCTAGTATAGCATCACATCAGCACCCTGCCCCCGACTCACCCACAACATTAGGGTTGTAACGATTCTCCAAATCCACCGTGGCACATCTGGAGACCATGGACTTTGGTTACTGCAGATTCTGTCTCTGAACCGTTACACCCCTACACGGCACACACCCTGGCAGCATGCTGCCCCTAACAAACCCTGCATCCCACTTCCCAGCAGCACAGCATGGTGTAAGACACCTCTCAGGCCACTTGGTGGTGCAAAAGGGTAAAGAGTTGGAAGAAAAACAGAATCTAATTCACTTTCTGCTCTGTGTGGGTTACAAGCAATTGAAAGGGAGCGCTGTGTGTGTGAGCATGGCCTTACATCAGAATTAGAGCATGGGTGTTTGAAATCTTCAGTGTGACCTGTCTGTCAAGTGATCACAGCAGTGTTTTGAGTTGAATAATCAACATGTTCTGTTTGGAGCACCTCTGCTAAGCGGCATGTAGTAAACATCACAGCAGAGCTGCACTGTAAACTGGATGGGTGGAGTCTGCCCACAACTCTCAAATCATGTTTAAAATAAAAGTTTATCATGCGTCACACATGGTTGAATCATAGATAACGTCACTTCACCAGGTGTGGGGTTATTTTTATTTATTTTATTTTTTTTAAATAAGTAGCACCTAAGTCCTGTTTTTAAAATCAGTGTTTAGTATTTCCCTGTGTGGACCTCCTAGATAAGTGAATGTTTGTAGTTTAACATAAACTTGATCCAGATAAGCTAGCCCACATGCCAACTTGATATTTTTTCTTTCTTTATTTATTTCTTCCCCTGAAAGCTTTTTTTTTTTTTTTTTAAAACAAACAAAAAACCCAACTCCTCACATCAGTCCAGTTTAAGTAAACTGTTTTAAATGGGGTGTTATTTTCTAAGAATCTACCACAGGGACGCATGGTAACTTAAGGTGTAAAGAATGTGAGAGTCCCCCAAATAACATCTCCGTGTTCCTTGGCAGGAACTGCGGTAACGTGTTCTGTGCCAGCTGTTGCGACCAGAGGATCCCAGTGCCAAGCCAGCAGCTGTTTGAGCCCAGTCGCGTCTGTAAGACCTGCTACAGCAATCTCCAGCATGGCTCAGCTACCCTGGAGCTGGAGAAGCCCATTACAGCCAGCTCCAACTGAGGTACAGAGGACCAGGACAGACGGGAGTCGGGCTGAGCTGCAAGTCGCTGATGCGGAAGCACTGCTGAAGAGCACAGGAGCTAAAGAATGTCCCACCAACTTTGTGAGTGCTGCTGCACTTTGGAGTGTGAGTGTATGTGTGAAAGAGAAGCTGAGTGGCATGTTGGTGAGATGGGACTGCGCACAAAGGAATGAAACTGGACATCCTGGTGCCTTGGACCAGGCAGGCAGAGGACGTTGTCTCACTATATTTGCTGAAGTCTCCTGGAGGACTTTGGTCTGTGAAAGATTCTCCTGAAGATCCTGAAAAAAAAATCATAAAGGTTTCTCATCTCCTAGCCTGGAGCATGGACTCATCTCTGCAGGGTGTTTTGACATCCTGGCAATCACGAGACTGTCTCTCAGCATTGGAAATATCCACATAGCAAGCCAGTGTCTCAGTGAAAGATTAAAGGAACAATTCATCCAGATCACCAGAGGAGATTGTAGTCATATTCCCTCACTTCCTATGGTACCAACAATCCAGCAAAATTTATTATGATTCGACCTTATCTGAGATTTCTGCTCCCAATTAGTCTGCAGGTCATGTTATCAGTTCAGCATATTTTTGTGTAACTTGTTTATGCTGTAAGGTTGGGCTGTTTTTACCAGAGAACTTGGTTACATATTCAAACAGTCGAAAATAAAACCTAAACCCTTTTATATCTGAATACATGTAACAAGCAAATTTGAGAAGCCTGATCCAGTGTGAGATTCATCCCCCAATCAAACTATCAACTTTGCAATGCTACACTTGCAGGTATGATTTCCACATTAAAATAAGACTGATCTGACTGAGAGGCACATACCCATTGAACCTGTTACACTTTAGAATTGTCCTAAAAGTGCAGGAAACTAGTTTCTAAAATTACTAATACTTCCGGCTATGTAGCTCAGAATCTCGTTTAAAAATGCTGCTTTCTAATGGTAATGACTTGATAACATGACCGCAGACTGATCAGTTAGTAATAAACTACATGAAGTCCTCTGTGGGAAAAAAACTGACTCCATGCTTTTCAGACATTGGTTGATCATCAGCTAAAGTGACTGAAGTGATAGTATCCTATTTAAAAATGGGTCACTTAAATATTGATGTTCCCCTCTGCTCAAGAACCTCTGTAAGCAGGTGATATTTACCATACATGCATTTGTATTGTCACCAACTAGTAATAGCACACTTGGGAATATTTGTTCCTCTCTACCATTGTGTGCAAGAGCTCAGTACATTTGAAAACCCCATTCCTCCCTCTCCTGGACTGGGAATGCTGAAGTGCATCATATTCCAAATTAAACCAGAGTGCCTAAGAAGCTTGTTTAGGCTCCGTATATTCAGACTTGTTGAGAGTGAGGCAAGTTTTGCCATTTTGACTTGGTAAGAGTGCTGTGAGGATGCTTGCATACACTCAGTCACATGTTCAGTCTAAAGGAGAGCTTGTCTGAAAAGTGTGTAAAACAGTGAAGTGTATCTTTTAAAGAAACTGGCCGCAGCCTTTGTTTGCAGTGTCATTACTCTGGATAACTGGGTGAATTGAGCCTTTAACTTTCTGTGGGCCGAGTCTCAACTGTGCTTGCTTTGTTTGGGTGAGCTTTTAAGCAGCTTTTCAGAAGAGACGCACAAATGTGGTGGCAAACAAGTGATGTACAAATCAAAAAGCCCTTGATGCTTTGTGAACATCACATTTAGTTATGGTTGAGATTCAGTCCAGAGTACAGAAAGGAGGCTGGACTCCTGGAGTTTGTGAATTTGTAAAATTCTGTGCTGTTCACATATTTAAATGCACTTTTTTCTTTTTTCTTTTTTTTTTTTTCCTTTCTAATTGCTTTTTAAAAATTTTTCAGTAGTTTGGCATCCTTATCCTGATCACGGTGAGGATGGTGAATCATTTTGTGTTTGAAGCCCCCGTGTAGACAAGTCATGCAGCAAGTTAGTGAGAGGAAAAGGCTTGTGGCTATTTGGTCTTTTAACAGCTCGTGCTGCGCTGCTCCTCCATACCAACAGACTGTTTATTACTCGTGTGCAGGGAGCACTCACTGTGAGACTCTGCTGATTTCAGGCTTTGGCTTTTTGTTTCAAAGCATTAACATCACACAGGTTTGGCCGATAGACCTGCATCAATACCGACGTTTTTTCAGTTTGTCTGCCGTGGACAAACTGAAGCACACGACGGTGCGGCCAACTGCTGCCAAAAGATCCAGTTTTGTTTTACCCAGCAGGCACTGGGACGGAACAACCTGTTTTGTTTTGTTTTTCTTCTCCCCCCCAGTCCTCTGGTACTAATCAGACGGGTGTAAAGCTCACAACAAGACATCTTTTTATCTATGTATATATATATATATATTTTTTTTTCAGGTGGCTGTCAGCCACTACGAAACAAATTCCACTTTGTCTAAATCACAGAGGAGCACAGCAGCAGTAGAAAGGGCTTTCTGCATTTCCCGGGTCTGTAACGCCACATGAAATCTGTCAAAGCATCGCTGAGACGCCTGCTCAGCCTCACACCCATTCACAAACTACTTGTGCACACACAGACACAACTTTTGTACAGTAAATGAGAGGAATAATATATTCAGATACCTACATAGCATTTAAGAAAATGTATAGAATCTTTGAATAGTGGCACTTAATTAGTCACCAAAGTTTTTTTCTTTTCTTTTTTTGAAATTGCATAAAATACCTATATTTTGCAATCTGTTTAAGGCAGTTTGTTTTGTTTTTAATGAATAAATGGAGAAGCAGGGTGACCTGATTTGATGCTGTAATGGTTCTCTCTCCTCCCCCTACTTGGATTTTATTTATTGATATTTGTATTGTTGACTTGCTGTTAAAACTCCAGTTAACTCAGTTTTTGCCACAGGATAATCAGAAACGCAGACTGAGCGGTGCTTCTGAACTTTGGCTACAGCATCCCGTCAGAATATTTTGTGTTGGCCAATCGCAGCATGTGTGGATGTAAAGATTTCAGCATTATGAGGGGGTGAGCAGTCAAAGGTAGCCAACGAGATGTCTATGCACTGAGTGAACAGTGGTCCAAAACAAGCAGCCTGAACCCAAAATGAAGCCCTGCCCCCTTTAAAGCTCTCATACATTTATACCATTCACACCCATCTACAAACACTACCTCTACTTGCATCCACACTTGTTCATGTAGACACACATACATTCACATACTGAGCTTCTAGTTGCTGAGTGACTCTTGCTTTTCAGATTTCCAGCGCGAATGGGTTGTTGTTGTGTTGCAAATCTTTTTGTAAACCCCTCCCCTGATTACTGTTCAGCTGGAACATTTAAAGGTACAGCACAGAAGCGTAGACGAGGTTGATAATCTTTGTTCAGACTGCCGCTCTCTATTCCCCATGATCCAGCTCGCTGTGTCAGATGGCTGCTGTAGATATAAACACAGCAAGTTTTGGACTAAGGGAGGAAACGCAGACATTTAACTGTGATTGACAACCTGATGCTACTTAATTATCCTAAAACTGTTTGACTGAGCCCATTCCTGTCACTTCCTGTTGGATTTGTGCATGATGCTGAGTTGAGATTGTTGCCATCTGGTGGTGGAGCTGCTGTTTTAGGTGGTCAAAACAACCGGCTTAAAGTGTGTGCTTTTTAGTGTCGACCTCCTGTGGAAGTGTTTAATTCGACAGCCTGACCTTTAGTCTTTCAAAGAGAACTGAAATATATTATTTTTGGCCCTCTCGCGAAAGATGAGTCAATTCCACAAACTACATCTGATGGCAACAAAATGGAGCAATTGTGTCCAAATAGACAATTTATTATTTTAAGACTCCACACTCCCTTGTGAAGCCAAAGCTTTTTGACCTTCCCCACATTGACGACCAGCAGCGTGAGTTCCCTTTTTCGAGTTTCACCACAGTCACAGGGACTTCTTGTTAAACAATCCATGAATGTGAATGGTCTCACGGGAGAGGAAAGGCTGTTTATTTGCACATGACATTAAGTAAACACTGCCACAGGGTGCATCTGAGTAAAGTGAGACTGAAAGTGTGCTTTTCAGTATTGCAACAGCATGCTGGAGTTATGGACAGATCTGTGTGTGGGAGGGGCTGGTAATGTGGGCTTCAGTTAACGTTGCTGTGTCCCCACCCCCAGTATGCATATGTTGGGGTTTTGTTTTTTCCACTCACGCTGACTTGCTTTTAGAGGCATCACTGCAATGGCCCAGTAGTCACATGAGGTGTGAGTGTATAAATGCATCAAGCATTTCAAGCATTAGTGTGACTGAGTGTCTCTTTGGTGGAGCCTGGTGCCAAGCAGTTTTTATTACGGGTCTCTCACAAAGGGATCACTCGTGCTTTTTCTTCTTCCTCTCTCACCCCCTCTGTTAAGCACTTTGAACCTTCTCATGTCTGTCGAGTGTATGGCTGTACATAGCAAATTCCTGTAACAACAAGTGCTCCTTGTTCAGTCTGAATATTTTGTTCTGTTCTGGATTTCCTTTTAAAGAGAATTACATTGTTGTAGAATTAAAGAAATAAACTAGAAGATGAATCTGTTGTGACTGTTTGCTTGCTAGGTGATACCTGCTTTCACTGACACAACTTGCTGTGGTGGAGAATCTGCAACTGAGAGCACACAAAGAAGAAAACGGACACTAGAATCATGTTTAATGCGTGTACTGGTATACAGCTCTAAAAATCAAGAAAATCTTAAGTTACACTGTCTAACATCAATTTCTACTTATAGAATGCAAATCCAAGTGAGTACATGACAGAAAAGAACAACCAAGAGAATCGATCAAAAAGCGACAGTGCTGCTCTAAGTTAGTCATGCTCACTGATGTGATGAGTGGGGGGTGGTCTTGCTGCCTCTAAAGAAACGATACAAGCAAGTGACGACCCCTGACGGTTACTAGACTTCATATCACTGCACAGAAGCGGGACATCTGTACCATAATCGGCAGCAGCGGACTAATAGCAAGCTGAGGCGCTTTGAGCCAGCCTGACAGCACGGCGTCCGGCATCAGAGGCAGAGCTGCGTGTTTCTTTCTTAGGTTTGCTAAAACAACACGAGGAACACTTGGAGCGAAACACTGCTGCTTAATTGTTTTACAAAGTATGGCCGGACAACGACGGTCGAAGCACTCGTATGCAGTTATATATCAAAGGCTATTCAGGCAAGAAGACCACACGGTTGATCTGGTCGTGTAACAAAAATGAGCTTTTAAACTCCTGATCAAATCCAGTCTTGTGTGCAAAGTCTTGCCTCCTCAGATCTCCCTTCCGTTAGTGAGCTATGAAAGTAATTCAATGTCAGTTTAATTCTCTTAACGGAGGAAAAAAAACCCTGTGATATTTCAGATTCTTATGTAAGGTTGATATTGTACGTCCTAGCCAGCGACAGCGTTAATCTCCCTGCAACATCTTTAGAAACTCATTTTTTAAAAAAAATAGACATGGCTTTACCAGCCGACTCTTCCCTTTTATCTATAAAAACTCCGACAGCAATATTTACAACTTTGAGGAGATAGAAAGTAGCTTCTGTAGATCAGCGTAGGTTCCCTGCCACCAAATCTACTGTGGGATAACTCCCATAAAAGCACGTGTCAAGAGGATTGTCACAGGAGACGTCTCCCGTTGCAGGTTTTTGTGAGGTTGAACGAGGAACTGACGCTGCACTATGTACAGGCAGTGTGCGTGCGTGCGTGTGTGTGCGCTTGGACTCAGGGTGGAATAAGGGCTTTTGCAGTTGGTTCTCTACAACCTCCAGTCAGGAGCAGCAAGTGGACTCACACTGACGACTGATCCCACACCTGCAAACACAGATTAAGAGCAAAGGTCAAAGCGTGTCACTGTGGCTTAAACATCATGAATAGTTTGGTGTTGTCTGTATTTACTGAAGAGCTGCAGCATCAGTTGTGAAACTAAAGGTGAGTGGCCTTACTGGATATGTATTTAAATGAATCGTACAAACATGATTTACTGAAGTTTACAGCAAACTGCTAAATTTAACAATAAAGCTTGTCTTATTTTGC